ACACACACACGCACGCACGCACGCACGCACGCACGCACGCACGCACGCACGCACCCATGTACATGTATGCGCGCGTGCGCGTAACGTGTGTATCCACGTACATTTGCACGTACGAATAATTGCTCAAACATACACAAATACGTCGTTACGCACACGCATGTAGATTTACACATGTGTGTGTGTGTGTGTGTGTGTGTTTATATATACATATATATTTTTTTTTTTCGCAATTATATTTGGCCATTTTTACAGTAGTCACAAATTCGTTTCATCGAATAAATCTACTAATTTAAATATTATCAATATCAGTTCTTTCTTGTCCTGACTACTATAAAATTGTGTTCATTATTCTCGTAATTTAAAGCTTCGTTCTTCTCCTTCAATCTCTCTCTCTCTCTCTCTCTCTCTCTCTCTCTCTCTCTCCCCCTCTCTCTCTCTCTCTGTAACCCTCGGCGTAACAATGTATTCGCCTTTATCTTACACCTCGACGCACAATCCCTCCCTTCTTATTTGAATTAGCTGCGCTAAAGCATCTCGTGTCGCACGTAACTTCACTTGCGCTCATTCGAGTGCAAATGAGGAGATGCGTACGCGCGAGATGATTCATTGGCGTTTTCGAAACTGTCGCGCGCGCGATATGCTCGACGTGCGACTTATTGGCACAAATACTTGAACAGGTGTATTTTACGATCGCGATTTACCATCATCGACTCGAGAGGCGTACAATAACACATTCGATAAATCTTTCAACGATAGAGAACCGAAGAGAGACGACTATATGCGCACCGATCCAAATCGTCTTTGCCCCGAAAGAAAAGCTATTTGATAGTTGCGACGATACGCGCGGAGCAATCGTAAAGTATATTCGCGCGACCAATGTGCCTGACACAGCACAATGCCCAAGACGGCTCGGGATTGCACGAGAAACGCGAGAGAAACACGTGCGACGCAGCAATGCTATACCGATGAGACATGCTTTACCATAAATTATCATAGCCTATCTACAAGTACGACCTTGGACGCGTGCACGTACGAGCCGAGAGATGCGATCTACATCGATACGCGAATATCAAATCGTCGCACGAGTCGATTTTGCTTGCACTTGCCGAGAAGGAAAAAAGAAGGAAAGAAAAGAAAGAAAAGAGATGAAGATAGAGATATATAGAGGATAGATTCCCGCGCCGCTAATCTGCACGCGGTACGCGTTTGTTACTTCAACCGATATACCGACTCGAATATTGCATTTACAATTTATTGCATCATCTATCTAAAGGCTCGAAAATCTGCGAGATCTGCGATCCAATTTGAGCTATTCGGCAAATCGGTAAGGGGCAACACGCGTCTCTGCGTATGTGTGCGTGCGTGTGCGTGCGTTCGTGTGTGAGTGTGTGTGTGTGTGCGTGTGCGTGTGTGTGTGTGTGTGTGTCGCGTGTCGCGTGTCGTTCATTTAGAGCGACAAAGAAGTAACTGTTCCTTCTGATCGTATATTGCAACTAAATCAGCCGTGACAGAAGGAATGATACAAAAGATTAAAGATAGAGGCGTAGATTACGACAGATGGAAAGAGAGAAAGCTCGTGCGTCGCACAGGCGTCATTACAGTCCCGATGAAACACAGTTTCAGTTATTTAGCAACGCTCTGAAGGCTGTTACATTCGACTTCATCGTGCGATTGCTACGGTGCAACCTTAACATAACTCTATCTCGCGAAACTTGGTCTCTCTGTATAAGCAAGAGCTAAAATTTTTACATCTCTGCTACTAGTCTCAGCTCTGTATGCGCGCGATACATTCTCACTATAATTTCTTCGCAATGTCGTTTTTTCTGCCCTACTCGATTCCCGTTCGTACTTTGATTGTATCGCAGGCATATTTCATCAACGAATATAACACAGCTCCAAAATATCGTCTCACTATAAGTCAATTTCACTTCCAGCATAAATCTGTACAAGCGAGCCTTACACCGATGGCAACTCGATCCGTACGAGCGATCATCACGGTAACATTTCCTACGATACTTCAACGTATAATTGAGGCCCAACTCTATACCGATTTTATTATATAATTCTATTCTAATCTCGCCGAGAAGGGCCTTGTCGCGCCGTGATATATACTGATACAACAGTGATTCTACTTGTTACACCACTCTGAATTCGGCATCGATATCGCAATCGATTCGACTCTTGTAATTTCTTCTCGTAATTCTGTTTTCGATACCAGTTAGCGAAAATTGCACAAATTACTGAAAAGTTTGCTCGATGCAATACGATTCAAAGCAATTCCATCTGCAAGAAAAAGAAACAAGGAAAAAGAAAGAAAATAATAGTCTCGTACCCGAGGTAGAGTAAGTAATCCAAATAATCGAATTTTAGGTCAATAAACATGTGCATATGCAAATCTCAATTCTCTTTTACTTGCGACGTAGCATGATACTTGTAGCATAACATGACGCGAAACACAGTTTTGATCGTGCTTCGGACATTGTACATAAAGTTGTAAGTTGCAGATTCGCAATCTCGTCGGTATTCTATTAACGAAACATAACATTCGCATTGTACACTGACGAGTATGCATATGCGGTTTATCTCATTTCGAAGAAGACAAAAGAGTTGAGAAGAAGAATAAGAGTAAGAGAGGGGGAGCGGAAGGGGAGAAAGGAGGAAGAGAGGACGTATCAAACCATACGAGGAAATGTTACAATTTCTCGAGCCTTCTCTCGACATCTTCAAAATTCTTTCTGGACTTTTGCGTCATTTTGGTCACCGCGCGACTCGATAATGTTTTTTGCGCTGGTAAACAAAACATTAGAATTGAAATTGCAACACAAGTGTTGGAACAATGCCCATGGAAAACACGATCCGAGGCGCTATAAAGCGCGAAATGGACGACGAAGAAACGTACAAAATAAAACATTTCGGCCAGATATTATACAAATGAAATATACTGGCTGTTTAGAATATATATTCTAAAACTTTCCCATTCAAATAATACCAACTGCAAAACGAAGATAACAGTGATGGAATAACGAATAAGAGCAAAAATATAATAATAATAATAATAATGATGATGATGATGATGATGATGATGATGATGACGATGATGATACTAGTAATGCTGGTGATGGTAGTGGTTGGTGGTGGTAATGGTAGTAATAGTAGCAGTAATAGTAATAGTAATAGTAGTAGTAGTAGTAGTAATAGTAGCAGTAGTAGTAGTAGTAGTAGTAGTAGTAGTAGTAGTAGTAGTAGTAGTAGTAGTAGTAGTAGTAGTAGTAATAGTAGCAGTAGCAGTAGCAGTAGCAGTAGCAGTAGCAGTAGCAGTAGCAGTAGCAGTAGCAGTAGCAGTAGCAGTAGCAGTAGCAGTAGCAGTAGCAGTAGCAGTAGCAGTAGCAGTAGCAGTAGCAGTAGCAGTAGCAGTAGCAGTAGCAGTAGCAGTAGCAGTAGCAGTAGCAGTAGCAGTAGCAGTAGCAGTAGCAGTAGCAGTAGCAGTAGCAGTAGCAGTAGCAGTAGCAGTAGCAGTAGCAGTAGCAGTAGCAGCAGTAGCAGTAGCAGTAGCAGTAGCAGTAGCAGTAGCAGTAGCAGTAGCAGTAGCAGCAGCAGCAGCAGTAGTAGTAGTAGTAGTAGCAGCAGCCGCAGCAGCAGTAGTAGTAGTAGTAGTAGTAGTAGTAGTAGTAGTAGTAGTAGTAGTAGTAGTAGTTAGTAGTGACAGTAATAGTAGTGGTGTTGGTGGTGATAGTAGTAGTGATGGTAGTAGTAATAACGGTAGTTACCAATACCAATAATAATATTAATAACAATATTAGCAGCAATACTATTATTACTACTAATCAATATTTATGATAATAATTACGCGATGTAATGTGAATGTAATAATAATTCATCGTAGCAACAAAATAGTAAGGTACTTATGTAAAATTCATTAGGTATCGTAACGGACATAAGTCTATGTAGCCCGTTAAAGCATTTAATGTGGAATGAATATAATAGGGTATGTGTATAAAATGTGTGTGTGTGTGTGTATGTGTGTGTGTGTGCGCGCATGTGTGTGTGTGTGTGTGTGTGTGTGCGCGCGTGTGCGTACGACGCGCGCGCGCGTACGTACGTATTTGCATATTTCGTCTTTCCCGACAACAAACAAATTACGCTATAAGAATATTTCCCGCCGCAACCACAAGTATAATTCATCTATCCTGTACTTTTGTCTCTCCGTCATTTCCGTCATTTATTGAAAACATTAGAACCGTGTATAAATCGGGCAATATTTAATATCGAAAAGATTCAGCCTATTCCGGGGGCTCGCTTGCAGTCTTATCGAAACTTATTTTTGGACGTCTTTACCTACAATTAACTGGACGATTGTGTCTTGGACACTGAAAGAAGCTCTCCGTTGTATCCTCGCTATCGCCGCATTTATATCGCATTATATCGATAACTAACTAATAAAGCCTACATTAATTCATATTTCATAGCCAATGCGAGCTCGCGTGACACGGTGTCTCGTGATTCTCTCGATTCTATCGTCCCGTACCGTGAGACGAATGTCGAAGCTTCAACTAAAATATTGTCTACGTCTACATACACGTTTGTGAACATCGGACCGGCTGTCTTGAGATTAAGAGACAGCTATAATATAACAATCGTCTCAGATTTCTACGTTGCACATCGAAATGAGCTGTATATTTATTATCGCGGGAGAAGTAAACGACGATCGATGCGAGACATATTTCCTTATGTCGCATCTATACAACATCGGGAATCGGAGAGTCTACGAAACATTACACACCGACGTTACACAATCTCCGAGAAATCTCCGGTGTTTGCGCGATCAGTCCAGTTTCCATTGCATCCCACCACGTACGTACGTACGTACGTGGACTGTACGTTTCTGCGATACTTTGCGTAAATATTAATGGGGAAGAGAGAGAGAGAGAGAGAGAGAGAGAGAGAGAGAGAGACAGAGAGAGAGAGAGAGAGAGAGAGAGAGAGAGAGAGAGAGAGAGAAATGTAAAGGCGGAAAAACAAGTGTGAGAAAAAGAAACGAAACGTAAAGGAGGAACGTATTCTAGAGATAGACAAGTTTATAAGTACGAGCAATTGCAGCGCTAATATCACGCTTGTATTTTGATCCATTGGCACCGGGTCCCGTAACGCCGCAACGCGCCAGTATACGTAAATCTTGTGAGTGAAAAAAGCGCGTAAGCGCGAGCTTTCTCGCGAGAGAACAAACGACCCGAAACGAGCGAAAGTTAACGCGTGAATGGGAATCGACTTAAAGATCAACTTGGAGCCTAATTAACCGAAGCCTAATTTCTAAATCATTCGATTGCACTCCCGTCAGTCTCACTTCTTCTCGACGCTCTTCGTCAACCGATCGAATTGTCGAAACTTTTTCGGAAGCTCGGGAGCGCGATGTCGACGATAGCTGTCGTAACGTCCGAAGCATTTTACACGTGTACATGTATGTATATATAAAAAAATAGAAATATATAAAATAATCGCACGCGATCCAGAATTGCAGCAATTTCCAGTCCGCGCGACAGCGTGACATGCGTGATCTACCACACACGACGTACGTACGTTCTCGTATTTGGAAGCACTGATATATATCTCGCGGAGCGCGCGGCACGTTTTCGCTTTTGTAGTAAACGAAAATTGTTACACCGGACAAAAGTCGAAAGTTCGAGCGCGCACCGGGCGTGGAGACATTAGCGCGCAACCTCCGTCGCGCCGTTCGGCGAATAACGTGAGCGCGCGAGCTGCGTTTTACGATACGATACGGCCGCTCGAGTGGCTAAAAAAGGATCCGCAAACTCGGAGTCTTGTATACTCTGACTGGTCCCAAATGTCGAACCCATTGCCAACCAATGTACAAGCGACATGGCGACAGTAACGTAACGTAACGTAACGTAACGTAACGTAACGTAACGTAACGTAACGCAACGCAACGCAACGCGACGTAACGTAACGTAATAATCGCATCTCATGCGTTGCATGCGAGCACTTGGAAAGCCGCATTTTCTCGTCGTTGGTTCATCGTCGAAAAGTCTCATCTCGCGTCACAAAGTTTTCCTCGTAGAGACGACCTGTACACGACCTTTCGTAGTAGCAACAAGCCATATCGAAAGAGCACCGCGAGTTTTCTCTCTCTCTCTCTCTCTCTCTCTCTCGCTCGCTCGCTCGCTCAACGATTGCCGTTAGCTCCCGGTCGGTCTGTTCGATAATCGACGTCGGAAATCCATCGCGATTGCCATCGCGATCGGCAAACAGGAGAACAAGCGAAGCACAGGTAGAGCGTGCTGTGTCTTGTCGTACAAGAGGTTCATCGTAATCATGAGCGAAATCAAGACAAACCAGACAGACAGACAGGAGCATACGCGAAAATTCGAGAAGATACCGTCGTCATCATTATACGAGGGGGCAATCGAGGGATAGCATCGAGTAGCGTCGATTTGCGCAAAACGAATCGCGCGCGCGCGCGCGCGCGAGAGTTGGAGAAGAGGACGACGCGATTCTCCGTATGGTGTCTGGAGCGAGGATGGCGCACGATTCTCCTCTCTCTATTAAGGTCTCTATTAAGCTCGTTCCGTGGTGTCCCTTGGCACGTAAGACACGCAAGACACGCGAGACATATCGCGCATCCGCGATCACTTCTATTTCTGTCTACGATGATAGATGCTCTTGTGATTGTTGAGACTGTTGAGCGTTCGGAACACCTTGTGGCACAGCGCGCATACGGCGCTGTTTAGCGGCTGAAAGTGTTGCTGCTCTTTGTGCCGTTTCAGAGTGAGTTTCGTGGAGAGAGTCTTGCCGCACACGTCGCACGTGTAACAGACTCCTGGTGGCAACAAGCTGCCGTGCAGCGGATGGGACAGTCGCATCGCGAGGATCGCCGACGGCGGGCCTGTCATCCATGCGATCGTAATGCGACCGCGCGTTTTTACGTTCAGCAACAACAATGTCAAGAAGAGGCGGAGGAGAAGGAGGAGGAGGAGGAGGAGGAGGAGGAGGAGGAGGAGGAGGAGGAGGAAGAAGAAGAAGAAGGAAGAAGAAGAAGAAGAAGAAGAAGAAGAAGAAGAAAAAGAAGAAGAAGAAGAAGAAGAAGAAGAAGAAGTAGAAAAAGACGAAAAAGAAGAAGAAGAAAAAGAAGACGAAAAAGAAGAAGAAGAAGAAGAAGAAGAAGAAAGAAGAAGAAGAAGAAGAAGAAGAAGAAGCAGCAGCAGAGGAAGAAGAGGAAGAAGAAGAAGAAGAAAATGGCAGCGATGTATAGTTGGAGCGTTTTCACAAAGCAACCAGAGAAGAGAGGAAAAAAAGTTAGGCGCGTCGATAGATGAATATACAGAGATGGTGCGTAAAACGGTTGATTATACGGGACGAAGAACGTGTTAAAAACGAACAAATAAAAGAATCAAAGTACATCGAATATATCGAGTTGCACGAGTACATGAAAATACGCAAGCATACACGTAAAGTGGAAACGTAAATAGATGCGTACATGAGCGAGTGCGCAAAAGGGAGAAAACGACAAGTATATAAAAGGATAAAAATAGGAGAGAGTGCGAGAGAGTGCGAGAGAGAGAGAGAGAGAGAGAGAGAGAGAGAGAGAGAGAGAGTGCGAGAGAGAGAGAGAGAGAGAGAGAGAGAGAGAGAGAGAGAGAGAGAGTGCGAGAGAGAGAGAGAGAGAGAGAGAGAGAGAGAGAGAGAGAGAGAGAGAGAGAGAGAGAGTGCGAGAGAGAGAGAGAGAGAGAGAGAGAGAGAGAGAGAGAGAGAGAGAGAGAGAGAGAGAGAGAGAGAGATAAATCAAGTACCATAGTCCGTTGCATATATGCATCGACACCCAATTAAAAAGAAATATTTCCATTACGAACCAATATTTGTGGTGTAGGAGGCACACGGCGGAGAGCCACGTGTGTGGATGGACCCCCAGCGCAAGTCCGTGTTCGTGAAGGTAGCGGGTAGGTACACACAGAACAATGACGAACCAGAGCCAAACGTATAGCCGAGCGAGCGGGACCGGGAACAAACAAGAACAAAGATACGACTGCTATTAATATCACTGGACAAGATTAGTTACGATACGCTGCTATGTATTCTTGCATGATTAGGGCTAGAGATGGGGTGATACGTAGGTGGTAGGGTCGAAAACGCGGGCTTCTCGCTGACGGTCGGCTCAGGGGAGTCGATCGGGAAAGTTGTGAGTAAAGTGATCGTGTGTTTGGTTAAGGGTCAACAGGATCGAGATCAAGAGCAGACCGTATCAAAGGAAGGTTGTGCTACCAAACATCTCAGTCGATATTCTTACTGACAGTCTCTTCAAATCTCTACGAGCCACGTGTATGCTCGAAGACTTCCTTTGCTTTCCACTGCATTTACAGTCGCAGACTACTACTAAAGTGGCTCGGAGCTCTGGTTTGTCATTGGTCATGCATAATAAATAACGCGTGGATCGCCGTGGAACGCCGTTTTTCCGTTCAATCGTAACCGTTCGGTCAAAAAAAATCACTTTTCCCATCGCGATATCGCGGACAATCTTTGTTGTGTTGCGTTTTTATCTCGCGTGAGCACGCGCTATGCTTTGCGATTGGTATATGCTTCATTTGTTTTGTACCTTTTTTACTTACTTGCGAGTGAGTTTTTATACGCTTCGCTTTATCGAACCGTGTCAAATGCAACGAGGATATGTATTCTTCGTGGTGACGAAAAGGACGAAAGGACAGCGAGAGCTCCAATGAGTGCGAGAAACATTGACATTGTTATTTCTTGCTTCTTTCTCCTGTTTTTTCTTTGCACTTTCTCTCCCTTTTCCTTTTCTCTTTCTGCTTTCTTATTCTGTTTCTCTTTGTTTTCTCCTCATGAGGAAATGATCGAAAATGTAAACCGGGCGATATACGTCATATATATATATATATGTATATATATATATATATATACACATATATATATATATACATAGACTTTTCTTTTTCTATTTAGTGTTTCTGCGCATGCGCGCGTGCGTGTGTGTGTGTGTGTGTGTGTGTGTGTGTGTGTGTGTCTGTGTCTTGATTTTGTAATTGTGGCAAATCGCGCAATCAGATTAAAAGCAAAGATGAGATGAATAAAATAAAAAGTGCAATTGACGATTACTTTAGGCGCGAACACGGACACCGACTTGGAGAGAAACCGCGCTCGCGCGATTCTACAAGAAGAAAAATATCACGTAAACTCGATAAACGATGAAATATATTCACACATACCTTTCCCCGAGCTGTAAACATAAGCGTAACGACTTCTCCCGGTATATAACGTTCGATGGACAGAGAGAATAAAATATATCCGTGATATGTCGCCGGCACAGGCAATGTACGCGTGCGTGCGTGCGTGCGTGCGTGCGTGCGTGCGTGCGTGCGTGCGTGCGTGCGTGCGTGCGTGCGTGCGTGCGTGCGTGCGTGTGTGTATGTGTGTGTGTATGTGTGATAACAATAACTAGTATAAAAAGTAACAATAACGGTCGCAATAGTGATGGAGGCAATAGTAGCAGGAGCGACAATAGCCATAGCAACGATAATATGAAAACTTGCCGATAGATAAATGTTAATGGCAATAACAACTACTACAACACATCGAGAGAGATAGAGTACGGTAGAACAATGATTAATCATACATTAAATAGATAAAGATATTTCACTTTCATAGATATTTTTTCTAGGAGAACCAACCAATAAATATAGAATGAACGTGCCCTTCTTGGACGGATTTGACGGATAAGCGACGAATACACCGCGCTTATATATCAACGCGCGTGTCTCGCGACGAGAGATGTACAGTAGATGTGTGTGCGTATGTATCGTTCACACTTCTGCCAATTGCAGTCTCTTTAGTGTGAACGTTTCTTCATCCATGAATAACTTTAACAGTGTCGGTCTTTGGTCTCATATCGATACCGATAAAAGAAAAAAAAAAGAGAAAAAGGAAAAGAGAAAAAAAACAAGGAAAACAGAAAATCACTTCGAGAACATAATATAAAGATACAGAAACATTATGTATGCATGCACAAAACGGGGCGTCGCAATAACGGAAACCATATTATTGAGTGGCAACAGCCACTCCATTAGAGGGCTCTCTTTCTCTTGCATATATGTCGCAGTGATTAGTTTTCAGCAAATAAAACTCGCCCGAGAAAACTGCGACTCGAGAGAGCGAACATAATCAATCACAGCCGCGAGAATCAATTCAATTTGTTTCGTCGTTTCCCCATCTCGAGATGAATCGTAGAAATTTAAAGCAAACGTTATACCGATAATGAAGGAAAAGAGACTATAAGAATAAATGTGCTTCTCTCGTGGCGAAATGTTTCGTGGCGACTTCGCTATAAATTGATGACATGAACATACGATGACATAACGCGTCATGTGCGTCATGTCGGGATATAAGTAAAAAATCGCCGAAAACGATCTTGGCGCTAAATCACAACGGGAAAATCTCGTGGATGTAGCATATACACGAGGGAAAAGGGAAAACAATATCAGAGCTGCAGAGCAAGGAGAAGGAAGGATTTGAAGAGAGAATAAAGGAGGCATTAGCCAATTCCAACTGCTTTGTTGCAAGGGAGTATATAAGAGCGTGTTATGAATAAATTAGATACGTTAAATAATATTTTATTATCCCGTTTTGTACCGCACCTTTTTTCTCACGTACCGTCACACAGGACGATAAATAGAAATTTGTCTCCTATTATCGTGTTTATCTCACATAAATAATATATAAAAATAATAACAAACAGTGTGTACGTGCGTGCGTATGCGTATGCGTGTGTGTGTGTGTGTGTGTGTGTGCGCGTGCGTGCGTGTGTGTGTGTGTGTGTGTGTGCTGCATGTGCGTACGTGTGTGACAAAAATCGAAGGGATTACGCAAGTCATCGCGCAAGTAATCGCTCAAATTCAGTTTCCGATACACGAGTCAAAGAGTTCGAGAACTTTCACAGCGCTACTATTTACAAGATGATGCGACGATCTTGTCAGGCATTTTTACTCGTAAAAAATATCGACGCAACCTCGCGGTGCCGTTCGAATAGATATAGTTATTCGAAACAACACTACTCCCAGACCGCCTTCCCGACCACAAGTGTCTTTCAGCCAGCCCATGACGTTCCTCGTCCAGCTCGCATTTTTTACCAGTCGCCATTGGCGAGAGACGCAAATGATATCGGTGACCGAGTACTTTGTCGCGAGAGCACACACGTGAAGTATCTCATGGCGGGGAAAAGCATCCGACACACACGTTTGCATCCAAATCGCGACTAAAGCCGCTTCGTCGACGCGCCATCGACGATCGAGATTCGACTCAAGATCGCGGATTCCTCCACCTTGCGACTCGTCAACAAGTTGCGTTAAAAGTACGTTAAAAGTACGTTACGTCCCGCGTCCTCGAGTCTCGTTCAATCTTGTCGAAAGACATCTAGATCCAAGTTTGCTGTCCAGTGAGAAATTCCAAGTATTTCGATCGCCAGCGATCGCGAGAACGAAGATTGCGCTGTATCATGATCAGTATCGATAATGGCAACATTACTTCGTGTCGCGTAAACACTCGATATACCCACGACACCGAGAAATTCACGCGAGATGGAGAGAGAGAAAGAACGATAGGAACGGAAGATGAGAGATCTCATCCCATTCGCGAATGTTGTTGAGCCTGCTGTTGCTGCTGCTGCTGCTGCTGTTGTTGTTGTTGTTGTTGTTGTTGTTGTTGCTGCTGCAGCTGCTGGTGCTGTTGATGTTGCTGTTGTTGTTGTTGTTGTTGCTGCTGCCGTTGATGCGAAGAATAATTTCTCTCGACATGTTCACGCTGGTCTCTTTGCCGCTCGCGGATCTGCGCTATTTCCTTTCTTTGCTGCTCACTTTTATTGTGTTGCCGATGATAGATGCT